ACTAATTACTAACAATTAACTTTACTTTACGCTTTTATTTTCATGCTTTATGTACCATTTACTTTTAGCATTTTACATTTCATGCTATTTTCATCTTTTCTCACTTGAGCATTTACTTTTATGTCATTTTTATTTTGCTCACTTGAGCTTTTCTTTCTTTTTAAAGACACCTAATAATCAACATGAACCATAAAAATCATTAATGATACTTGGACTACATGGTTACTATCCTTTGCATTATGGAGTGATGGACTTCTTGGACTTAGGATTAGAGACCTTGGCCTATCTTAGAGACTTTGTGACTTTATTTGATATTTTGTCTGGAGTTCTTGAGGTTTACCTCAAGACATTGGGTTGTTTGTTTGTTTTGTGTGCAGGTTATTGAGATTACGATCTTTGTTTGTAATCTGGAATTCACCTGTATACAGCCGTTACTCTGCCCAATTTTCGCGAAGACTTAAAACACTTGAAGTTTGGTTCTCTCAAGAGGTCTAGTATCTTTGCTTGCTTGGTTTCAATTCGAAGAATGAGAATTCTATATTGACTCATAATGTCAAGTATTGGCTTCTTGTTGGTTAGATGGTTCTTATCCCTAGCTTTTACCTTATGCTTTAGGATAGCCTCTTCTTCTCCTCCCATCTTCTTTAATTTCAAAAATCTTCTCCCTCCTTTAAAAAAAAACTCTTCTTGTTTTGAAACTTGAAACATTTTCATAATAAACTTGGACTTAGGTCCATGCATCTTCGAAACATTTTCATAAATAAATTTCAATCAATTTAATAATACTTTGACCTTTTTTTTGTGAGAAGACTAAAAGTCAATCAATCTCATTTTAAACCATTTTGCCACTTTGGCTTTTATCTTTAAACTTTTCTCAAAAGATTAGACTCTTGTCAATCCTTGTAGTGATGCAAACAATTATACTTCTATAATATGTAGTGAAGTGAGATATTTTCAACTTGGGTGTTGAGTGAGGCATTGTTGATTTTAAAATCCAAGTCATATCCTCCACTTTGAGATGATGCAAATTCTCCTTTCTCATGATTGTGGGTAATAAGTATTTTTTTCACATGGACAATTGCAATGATGTCTTATCTCATAAAATCAACCAACACACTTGTGTTTCAAATTTTTAAAAGAGGAACTACGTGTACCCTGACCCCATATTGCACGAAAGGTGGTACGTAGGCACTAAAGGTTTGCAACCACGGCGGGTGCAAAAATCATAAAAATATTTCTTTTCTCACCTCCACCATCCATTTTATATACAACACATTTTATAGCCAAAATATACAGATTTTTTCAAAGAGGTTCCTGCGGAGTACCGTAGATGTTTAAGGTGTTAATACTTTCCCTTTGCATAACCAACCCCCTTACCTTGAATCTTTCCCCCTCTTTTTGGTTTATTCGCTCTTTTCTCATTCCTTTGGAAACAATAAAGCGCGGTGACGGTTTTTATTTTGATTTGTATAAAGTCTAGTCAATCCAATGGCTTAGTCTTGCACATTTCTACCGCCACAGTATGAGACCCTTCTCAGTCCCTTTCAATCACAACAGTGATGAAAAACACTAATACTTAAAAAGTTATAGAAGACACTCTTACATGACACAAAATCATTCAATGCTTAAAAGCTTATGCATTATTGACAGAACTTACAATTCAATAGAGACAGTCCTACTCTTATATCAAGATGATATTAAAGAGGCTCACAATTCACAAGAACACAAACCCTGCAAGAATAATATAACAGCACAATACATTCCACACTTGTATTAGGTTTGTAGCCTTCTTTTTATAATCTTGAGTGGACTGGATTTGGGGTTCAAAAACACAGTTGGTCAATTACTGAAAATCTATAGAATCTTCTGCATAAAAATATGACTTCTATAATATGTTTCCTAAAATGTCTAAACATTTATATAAAAAAATTAATCTTCTAAATCCACATAGAATCTCTAATTCCCCAGTCTTGGATGCCAAATATAATATCCTAATATTCCCAGAATATTCAAGATTTGTTAAAACTAAATAAATCCAAGAGTACAGGTGTAACAGGCAAGATGTCGGGTAACCTGGATAGGACATTGTGTCCAATATGTTCTCTCTGCAAGTTTAGAACATCTTATTTTAACATGTTACTGTCAAATTAGTTTTTACCAAAATTAGTGCCCATTATAAAAATAGATTATTAACAGTCATAACATTTAGTGGTTTGAGCATTCTTTATTTTCCAAGTCGGATGATGGACTTACTTCATTATCGTCCCATGAAATATAGGCTCTTTTGGACTTTAATTCTTTTCTTCCTTTAGGACTATTTTTTAAAGAAAGTTTTGGACAATCCGTCTTTATGTGTCCTTACTTTCCACATTCAAAGAAAGTGAAGTTTTGGATTGATGCAGAACTTCCTTCTTCTTGAAATTTTTTCTTTCTTTTTGCAAAGCATGGATTATTATTACCAAAAAATTGCCTAACCTTTTTACAAGAAGTATGAAGTTCTCATCTTCTTCCAGAATGTCTTCTTCTATGTTTTCTTTTGAATAAATATTTAAAGCAATACCTTTGGATTTCTTCTATTGAGTCTCATGCTTTTCTAGTCTTCCAAGTTCAATCTCATTATCTAGATGTTTTCCGAATAACGTTACATAAGTCATTTTGAATAGACTCTTCTTTTCAGATATCACAATTACTTTCGGTTGCCATTCCCTTGTCAAAGATCTAAGCACTTTATTTAAGTTCATGATTTAGTAAAAGCCTTACCGAGGGCAATCAAGGGATTAGGTCAAGTGAATAAATATTTTGTGCAACTCCAGGATTGATTCACCAGGAAGCATTCTGAATAATTCATACTCTTGACATAATGTGTTCAATCTTGATCTCTTTATTTCAGCGGTTCTTTCATGAGTGACCACTAACATATCCTATTTTTCTTTCTCTGTTGTACGTTGAGAGACACAAAATAATTCATTCATGCTAAGTGTCGCTTGAAGTAAGTTTATTTCTTTCTTGTCATAGAGCCTTTTCTTCTTATCACCTTCGTCCCAAGCACTCTTGATTTTGGGTGTACCAACGCCATTGATAATGCTAGTAGGAACAAATGGACCATTTTCTACAGCATCCCATACTTCATCTCCTTGTGCTTTAGATGTGCTTTTATTCATATTTTCCAAAAATCAAAATATTCACCACATAACAAAGGCGACTTATTGTTAATACCACCATCTATGAAGATCAAATTTGTAGAAGTCATTCTAGATTTTTAGGAACATGTAACCTATAACATGGTTTGATGCCAAAGGTAGGTATGAGATGTAATCTAAAAGGGGACGAATTAGATTATGCGATATTGTGAAATTTTTCTCGATTTAGGATTATTAGAGATGATGTTTTTATTTTTCAGAATTGATGTAAAGGGTGAAATACTAAAAAATAAATGCTGAAAGTAAATAACACCAAGATGTATATTAGTTCCCCTTTCTAAACAAGGGTATATCTAGTCCCCTCACACCTTGTGAGAGATTTCACAATGTTAGAAATGTTATTATCCAATCAGATCCTCTTATCTATCTAACATAAACACAAAAGCACACCACCTTTGATTTCACAACCTACAAGAGAAAGCACACAACTTTTAATTATGTACAATGATCACTCAAACCAAGTGAACAAGACCATAATTTAAATAAAGATGAAGAGTTGAACTTTTATCAGTTACAAGAATTGATATTCTCTTTCGAGTAAAAAATTCACAAAGTATACTACTTAAGTGCTCAGAACTTTATTGATGAAACTTATGATGCAATGGAAGTGTATGCAGAAAGTTTTACTAAAACTTATGACTCAAGGCACTTTAGTTTTAAAGAAGAGAGTTTTTAAATTTGAATTGTAATGAAAGATGTAATTTTTGAAAATCTAAATTCTTAGGTATTTATATATGTATTATACCTTTTTGAAGGAGTATAATACCATGAACTAGTGTTATGATTGATAAATGAAGTTTAAAATTTGTTGGAATCACATTTAATGTGAAAAAGTCTCACTACTTCAATAACTAATTAACACAAAATTGTAATTGGTTACAGCTGGAATTTAAAAAGATTTTTCAAAATTTTTAAAGGTGTAACCAATTACAAGGTTCAGTTAACCGATTCCACTTTATACGTTTTTCAAAAATGACAATTTCTTGTTCTTGTAACCGGTTAACACATTTGTGTAACTGGTGGTTACAGCTGATGAAAAATATGAAAATCAATTTGTAACATTAGAAATTCAAAACCATATCTTTCATAAAAGAGTTTGAAGCATATAGATGAAAAATACATGATTGTTCTGAGTACTAAGGTAATACACAAAGCTTAATTGTAAATTATACCTTAAAAATGAGATCAATCCTCTAAAATCCAAAGTTATCTAAATTTAGTGGTCTTATTGGACATCTTCACTATCATTTTTCCATGATATGAACACTTAAATATCTACCTAACTTCATTTACTTCTAGTTAATTAATGCCAGAACAAATCAAAATTTGAGTTCCTTTGAATTTTCTATAGTCAAATTTCATTTTTGCACGAATCTATTTGTATTTCATAAATTCAAAATTTTGAGTTCACTAGAAATTTTCAAATAATTTCTTACTCACTTTTGCTCCGTCAAACTTGTATAAAAAAGTCATTTTGAAAATTTACTTTTTATCATGAGTTTGTTGGGGGGTAGGAAGAAGGATGTTAGTTTTTCACAAATACGATCGAACAAAAACAAAGTAGCCCCTATATTTTAGGAAAGAAAAAGGGTAAAACGACACTGCAAGCAAAACGGTAGCTATGTGTTTTCAACCTCATAAATTAGAGCGAAAACATCTTTCAAACATTGTTCCTGTCTTGTTCGAAAATAAGTACACATTTTCATGATGTGCTTTCTTCATCTTTTTCTATCTTTGCTTCCTTCCCATAAATCCACCACCCTTTTTTCTACATTCTCTCACATTTTTCTATTAGGCTAAATGGGGAGGATCAAGCCTCAAGCTTTGTTGCAACAAAGCAAAAGAAAGAAGGGACCTTATCACATGAGTCCAATGCTTATCATGTTTTACTCTTTGATTCTTTTCATATTTGTGCTTTTCCTCTTTGCTACATTCAGATACTGGTCCATTCGACTCGGGAACCACTCATCAGTATTTAAGGTATAGATATTCATTGGTCGTTGTAATGATATTTATAGATTTTCTTATAACAGAAACTACTTTTCTGTAGGATGCAAATTCTTATGTGGAATCCAAGAAATCTGATCTACCTGAATATGCTGTAAGTTTGATTGGTTTTTTGCCGATGTTTAGAATGCTCAACCATTGAAATTAGTTTTTTAGAATTATATCTCATGAAATGGCTACTCAATTGTTCCATGTTATACAGGTTTTTAGAACCTCTAAAGGTTCTATTATAATAGAACTTTACAAGGAAAGTGCTCCTGAAGTTGTTGATGAATTCATTGATTTATGGTGAGTACTTACACTATCGACTAGAATTTATTTTAATTTTTAAAATTGATTCTACTTGAAGTTAGGATTTTTAATTTTAAGTTTAAACATGATTTTTAAATAGAAATTTACTATTCAATTTTCTTTTGCAAAAAATTATTCAAACATAAAACATTTTACCTTCTACTCAAATTTTTTACCGCAGAACCAAACACACGATCCTTAACTATAATTCTTTTTTCAGTCAAAAGGGACACTTCAAGGGGATGCTTTTTCACCAAGTAATTAAGCACTATGTTATTCAAGCAAGTCATAACAAAGGGACAGGGTCTATCGAAGATTGGAACCTCAGAGGGAAGAAATATACAAGGTTTCTTATTCTTTGTTTTCACAACTCAATATTTATGACATCCTTAAACCATTATAGCGATAATCTACCTGAAAATCGCGTAGTTTTTTTAATCACTAAATATTACGATGATTAACTATAGTATAAAATACGAAGCATTCATGCTTGGAACTTCCAAGGACAAATACATCAACAAAGGATTTGATCTTTTCATCACGACCGCGCCAATACCTGATCTAAACGAGAAACTTATTATTTTCGGTCGGGTTGTAAAGGGAGAGGACGTAGTTCAGGTGATTAACTGAATTTTCTTGTGCTGAAATTTTTTGTTGAAAATCAGTATTGTGTTACATGATTACATGATATTGATAGTTTTCACAATCAATATACTATGCAGGAAATTGAAGAAGTGGACACTGATGAACATTATCAACCAAAACTTTCTACTGGAATAATTGATGTAGATCTTAGACAAATGATGTGAAAGCTTTGAATTAATAGCACAACAACTCGTAATTCTTTTAATCATGTTCCTTTGTGTTTCAATTGATAGCAATTTTAGGTGTATGCCGAAAATGATTGGCTTTGTAATCTATTTTTGTAATTCTTCAATGAGACTAAATTCACATTTTTATTTAAAATAATTCTTCTTCTACTTATAAGACTCACTTTTTATATTTATTTTAAAACTCCAAAATTATATTATAAATAGACATCATTGATGTTTCATTCTCATGTTTCCATCTTTTTCTGGTTTTCTTATTCATCTTTGATTTAGGGATCGTCGGTGGCCCACAAGCTTGTATTGAACGATGGTTAAAAGGGAAGTGGGGGTACCTGTAAGATGTTCTGATGATAAAGTAAGTATTTGAACAATAATACAAACAGATAGTTTAAGTGAGTAGTATTCAATGTACCCGACCTTCTCATATGAGAGGATATTTATAACCCCCAGCGTTAGGCCAAGATCTACGCACTGAGCCGAATAGTTAGACCCAATAACAAAGACTGTCAGGGTTACGTGAGTAGTGAAAACTAACACGTGGCCTCCTCCCTGGTCAAGTGCTATGAGATAGTAGAGAAGTTATGGACCCGTTATTCTCGATGGGCATGATGATGGTAACTCCGGATAACTGTTGGCCAAGTCTCCTTGGTGGAGCCGTGGGGAACTCCCCAAAGGTTGCCGACTTGAGCCGTGCATTATTGGACCATAGTAAAGACGTTGGATTGGGTCTGCTCGACGGTGGGCCAAGCGCAGGCCCAGTCTAGAACAGGAGCCCCCGAGTTATTGCTCTTAGGCGAAAGAGTGATGACTTAAGACCAGCTTAATTATCGAGGAGAGATTGCCCAACAAAGGGACTATTAACTTTCGTCGGGGTCGCCACTGACACTCAAGGTCGAAAATAATCATTGCGTTTCAATCAGGGACGATGTGGTTGTCCAGATTATTGATTTTCTCCTCCACTTTCCGTGACCACACATACGTACCCGGCTACAAAATCACGCGCGTACCACGACCTATTTATTTTGAAGGACTTTCCTCGATCGATTTGTTAGATGCCCGACTTGACACAAGTGTTTGTTTGAGATTCACATTCATGGGGAAACTAACACAGATTTTTCCCCGGGCTTACATTCACAATGTGTCTACAAGAAAGGCGCCATAATGAGGTCGAGCATGTGTTAATCAACGGAGAATTGAAATGGCGTCAGCGTGTGGTTTCACGCGTGGGATTTTTGAATTCAAAATGGAAAATTACTCTGCGTGTCCCACGTGGCGACTATTTAAAGTGCCATCATTTCCTAGGGAAATCTAGGGGTCTAAGTAATGATGACCCCTCGCACGCTACCTCGTGTGGCAGAGAGTATCTATAAAAAGGGGGTGATGAAGTTCACTTAAGACATTTTCAACTTTGCTCTCATGTAGTCTCTTCTCCATTCACTAGTTGTTCTGCCGTTGTCGCGGATATCGTAGAATTATCCATCGTTAATCCCTTTTCAAGTAAGTGATTCTCTTATGTGTTGATTTATCTTAGGATTTTAGATTGAGCGTATGAAATTTCTGGTGGATATGAAGTTTCCGACGAATCTTATGGCTGACGGATGAACTTTCTGATGAAGTTCATGAATTTCGAATGAAGATTCATGAATTTCGAATGAAGATTCATGAACTTCATATGGGCTTATGAGTTTCAGATGAAGGTCCATGAACTTCAGCTGGACTTTATCTGGCCTTATGTCAGGGTCATCTTCCCCGTGAACTAGAGTAAGTCGCTTTTTCGAGGAAACTTCTAAGTGTGATTTTATTCCTACTCGAGGATGTCGCCTCCTTTCGCATTTACTGTCAAGGGCTTAAGTCGAGGACCTACCCTCTTGGCCCTTCTCTCCCTTTTACTTGACTTGCGGTGGAGGGGTGGATTTGATGATGTCGAATTTACTGTTTTCCCCTGCTCTTTAGATAAGATGGCTCACCCGGTCGAAGAAGCTATTGTTCCCGACTCAAATGACAAGGAAAATGTTAGCACGGGTGATAACCTAGACTGGGTTGCGCCCGAGCCTAAAAAAAGGATGACTCGGTTTGTTCCTGATTTGTCTAACGCGTTCAATATTGTCAAGGACTTGGAAGATCGAGCCTCTGCCTCCTGGTCGATTCTCAAGCTGCACAAGGACAAGAGGATCTGCTCGGCTTTCCCTGGCACAAGCTTCCTGTGATGCGGTGGGAGAACTGACTTGAAGATTTTGTGCTTATGTTCGCAAATGTTGCGGTTAGCAAGAGTCATCACCGACTTTTCTTTTATCCAAAAGGAAAGGTGAAAAAGCACAGGAAAGACCTTTATAGATGTTTTTGAGTTCGGGGGGTAGATTATGAAAAGGGAAGGTATTAGCACCCTTTTCATCCATGATTTTCCATGGGATCTTAGTTACTTGCTAGATCATTTGATTTTGTTTGAATGTGCTTGTGGTGTGTGTTTTGAAAGTATTTTTGAAAATGGAACTTCGTAATGGTTCTCGTTTCTATAAGAACGCCTACAAAGTGTTTGTTTCGAAAATAGTTCAAAGGTGTGTTTGTGATATGTGTTTTTGAAAGTATTTTGAAAATGTAACTTTGTAACGATTCTCGTTTCTATAAGAACGCATACAAAATGTTTGTTTCGAAAATAGTTCAAAGATAAGAGTGTGGGTGTATAAAAATGTTTTTGTTGTGAGCAAGCGAGTAACTGAGAGCGAATCTACCTACTCAAAATGTCTTAGATGTGCTTTTCCTCCTCCTTTAGATGTTGCTATCTTACCATTGATTTGGTAAGAAGCCCCATCGTTGGATGTGAAGGGACGGGCGTTGGGACATTGGTATAGTCATAAAAGGCAACATATGAGATGTTTTAGCAATGTCGTTTTAGGGACTAGATCGTTTACCGAAGGCAACATCGAGGGTCATCGAGGGACTGCGATCTTTTATCGAGAGTTTTTGCTAAAACGCCCATGATCGAGGGACATGACTATTTTCCGATAGGAAACAAGTGGAATTACCCTAAGGGTGTAAGTGTGCAAATGTGTTTTATTTACATGCATTTAGTCTTGATTAGGGTGATCTACTTGTTGGTTTTATCTTTCCATACAAACCCTAATTTACTAGCATTGATATGAAAGCGATAAATTGCGGAAACTAAAATTACTACGCTATTACATCATTATGGGGATGGGGTATACAAATGTACAAATGGGGATTGCAAGAAAATTAAACCCTAATTACTATTACAAGTCTTTGACAATTACATAATCTATAATGCAAAAAATAAAATATGCAAGAAGATGTAAAGTGAGAGAAATTTCTTTTTAGGGTTTTTTATAGCAAAAGATTTTGTAATTAATTTTATTGAAGAAAAACCTAAGTCTAAGTTAATTGTTTTCTTAGGTTTCATTTGAACAAAAAGGTTTTATAAAGTTAGGTCACTTCCAAGCAATGTAATATGTCCAAAAGAACCTAAAAAATATCCAAAAATTAAGAAATTTGGTGCCCGAGTTGACACGGGTCGTGTCGGGGGACACGGGTCGTGTCGGGGGACACGGGCACCCGTGTTAGGACCTGTCCATGACTTTTCTGCATTTTTTTGGTCCCAGCCATCCTGACACGGCCGTGTCACCTGACACGGGTGCCTGTGTCAGCCCCTGTTCATCCTTTTTTGCTCATGTACGCATCAGTAACTCTGACACGGGCTGTGTCGATTGACACAGGCACCCGTGTCAGCCTCTGTACCTGCATTTTATTATGTTTTCAACCCAAATAAGCTGACACGGGCCATGTCATGTGACACGGGCACCCGTGTCAACCTCTGGTCTGGCTTTTTGTTAGTTTTTTCCCTTTGATCTGTCTTGTTATATCTTTTGAGCGCAAAAGAAAATGATGTATGAACAATGAGATCACAGTTTGAGAAATTTTACCTCTCAAAGCGGAAGCTTTAGGACACGTACGGATGTTTCCGAGTGTAAAGTGGTGATTGATCAAGCTCCTTTGAACCTTCTTGAAGTAACTCCAATCTTTCTTTTATACTGAAAATGGTTGAACTGCTCCAACCGAGTCAAGTTGCGATGTATGTTTTTTTTGAATTTGGAAGATGGTGATAGTGATATTACAGAAGTTGTCTTTGTGTTTGAACAACTTCTATATGTTGTATATGAAGTGTTTGGATAAAACTTGCAAGGTATGAGATTCAAAGATTTGAACTTCAAAGCTAAAAAATGGAGGTTTTGTGGACAAATCTGGTTTTTTGACAGCAAAAATGAGTTTGAGTGTTAGTTTCTCCTTCTATTTTTTTGGCCTCTCTCTATTTTTTCTAACCTCTTTCCAACCTTTTTCTCTTGTGATTGGCATCTCTATTTATAGAGAAGGTTTGAGACTTGAAACAAAACTCAGATTTTGAATCACATGTTATGGCTAGGTTAGATTGTACATGAAGCAAGCTTGAAGATTATAGTTCCAATGCTTTGTACTTTGTTGCATAGAGTTGTTGGACACTTTAAGCATGCCCTTCTGATTTTGTATGTTGAGCGTGATTAGAACAACAAGTTAGAGGCTCAAGAAATTGACTTTATGATTAAAGTGAAGTTTGCAAGAATGACAATGGTGCCTTTGTGCCAAAAATGGAAAGATGCAATGGACAATGCTTGAACCACTTGGATAATGGTTTAATCAATTGTGTAAACATATGATTATGGATATATTTGTAAGTCAAGAGGCCTGCAAAGTGAAGATTATGCAGCATGGCTAAGATTTGGTTCCTTGTTCATCACAAATCTGTCTTGTAAATTCAGAATGAATGTCCAACTTCAGATCCTTGAATATCCTAACGCAAATATGATAAATTCACGCTCTTGAATGTTTTGGAAAGCTTGAAACACCCTCTATAACTTTTATGTTGGCCATTTTGACAAAAATCATCTTGTAACTATGTGAAAAAATGCCAAGAAGTTGGGATAAAATCCTGG